ATGAAAGGGTTTATTTCATTATTACATTTAGATGTATTTCCTCTTATTCAGGTCATTGTAATGGAAAACTGTGATTCTAATCCTAAAATAAATGATCCGGTTATAAAGCATTTATACCACAGAAACTAGGGCTGGGCAATTAATTGCATTTTCAATATAATTGCAATTTAAATACATTTTGCAAGGGTAAGACACTAAATGTCTCCCTCCAGCCCTTTAGGTGGCAGTAAAGTGATTAAAGTCAGTATGCTGTCGCACAGAAGGGAACAGCGAGTTGCAGCTAGCACCTAGATCTGTTCATTATAGTAGAACTTTTTCATGCAAATGTTACAGTAAAATCCTGCAACACTGGATTCTGGACAAGCAGGCTTTCAGGGTCAGGAAAAAAACTTTGGAGTAAAACTTTGAAATGCTTGTGCTTTTTGCAAAGGAAATCACAATAAAGTCATAATATTGGTTGAAAATCATTTCAATTTCGATTTTTTTGTCAAAATCGTTCAGCCCTAAACGAAACCAATTGATTAGCATCGCCTTGCGGCTTTCTAACGCAGTTACAAAAAATAAAAAATGGACCAATTTATTGAACTAGAAGCATCTAAGACCTGTTATGGCACCATATTCAATTTAATAGTATCTTTTTAATGTTGACAGAGATGCTAATTCAAGCAAACACTATTTGCTTTTTCTAGTCTTCTTTTGTTGTTAACTGTTCTCCCAGTTAGTTTCATGCATGGATAAATAAAGCAGATAGTGGGGTGAGGAAAACCTGAACCTTCTATTGTTTAGAAGTTTTATCAGTTCTGGAGGCTCAAAGTTGAGTCTGGAAGCAAAACCATCACGTGTAGCAGTTTTATTTAGTAGAAAATAAATGTGTTTAGAATAATTCTGTCCTCCTCCAGATAACTACAGGCTACAACTTGGAGGATGATCGCTGTGAATGTGTGGCTCTGCAAGACTACAAGGAGAACGAACAGGTGAGGGGCCAGAGCACACAAATGGTAAACTCTTTACCACAAACAGATTTAGTCAGAACAGATTGAGTAGAAGTATGAGAAACATAATTACTATTTGATAATTAATGAAACAATTTTCAAATATTTGACTAGAATAATGTGCCTTAACATTTATTTATATATATAAATATATATGTATATATATATGTATGAGATTTTTCTCTACTTTTAGATTTATATCTTCTACGGGACGCGGTCCAATGCAGAGTTTGTCATCCACAACGGCTTCTTCTTTCAAGACAATGCTCACGACAGAGTGAAGATCAAGCTCGGCGTCAGTAAGAGTGAGCGTCTCTACGCCATGAAGGCCGAGGTCCTGGCACGGGCCGGCATCCCGTCGTAAGTCTTCCTTGGCCACTCCTGCAAAACCTGTAATATGGGTCCCAGGGGGCTTCAGGCCGCCACCAGCCTCTTTTCTAACAGTCTCTTATTTCATCCAATTAAACACCACTTTACCATAGCTGGAGAATATAAGTTAAATGTTGCAACAGATCTACTTTATTTCTCTCCTCCCCCAATTTGTCATCCACCCCAACACTTTCATCACCAAGAAGCTTAATCATTTTATCATTAGCCTCGTAATTTTATGCAGCCTTCTCTACATTTTTAATCAGAAGCCTTTAATCTCTTATTGATGACGCTCTGAATGTGAACAGTAGAAATTAAGTGAAACAATTCCCCTTGTTGCACCAGCACTTGATTAAACTGCTAGATTTGCTGGCAGATCGATGTTGAAGTCAGGGTTGAGTGGCTGCTATTATCAGACACCTCTTAGGACAGATCTCTGCGGTAGGATAAAAAAGTTCTCAAAGATTGAAGGAAAGAAGAAAAACTGCAGGATGGTACTGATGGATCTTTTAATAGAAACAACCAGAACTGACCAGAATCTGTTTGTTCGCTGTTTTATTTGTTCTGTCGATGAACAATAACAATTTTGGTTTTAGTGAATTTCCAGATTTATACACATTGCTGGAAAACTTTGACCTAAGCTCCATGAAATATTTATTTCTACTAACACATTTTTGCCCTTTACTGATCACGCTATCTTTCATATTAGCATTATTTTACTTACTCAGTGGTTATTTGAGCTACTGTGTGTCTTTCTTGGTTCTTGAAGTTATCCTAGAGATGGACATTTTGAGGTAGAGGATTTTTCACCCCTTTGTAAAGCTGAGGTTCCGTAGAGCCCAGTGGTTATAGCCTTATTAGTTCAAACCATTTGCTTCAAGACACTGATTTAACAATGCCTGAAAGGAAATGGTAAATCACAACAAGGGGCAAATGTGGCTTTTAATCCTAACCGAACGCAGGGCTGTGATGATAACTGCCTGTATCTGTGATATGGGCGTGTACCAGCATGAACCTACAGGAATTTGTCAACAATAGTAGACGTTTAACCACTTAGGGCAGCACTGAAACTGAAACAGATATTGCAGAACTAAAATAATCACAAAGAGATTGTAAAAGCAAAATGTATACTAGTGTTGAAATAGCAGCAAATAGACACACTTTACAGTTAAAGTGCAAAAAAAAACTCATTTTGGGGTGAGTTTCACTTTAATGCTTGCTTTGAATTGATTTTATCTAGATGCCCAAGTTTTTTTGTTTTTTGCTTTTTTGCTGCCATATGATTTGTTTGGTTAAATGTTAATTGTTTACCTGTTAAATGTTGATTAACAGTGAAATTGGTGCACCTAATAGAGTGGCCAGTGAGTGTGAGATTTTCACGACACCAGCATGTTTCAAAGGTTTAGTGTGTGGATGATTTGGGAAATTATGCTTGATTTAGGAATAGTGCTGACAACCTTATAAGATCCACGGGCAATCCATAAGGAGGACGGGTCTGAACTGATCGCTGATGCATCAGCGCATTTCTGTCCTTTAGGGCCAGCGTGGTTTTTTTTTTTTTTCTCCCTCACACCAAGTTTATGTTTGTGACTGATGATGTTTTATTTCCAGCTCCTGCGTCTTTGCGCTGCACTGTAACGAGCCCCCGATATCTGCTCAGCTTCTGGCCTTCCTGAGAGTCTTCTGTATGACAGAAGGTAAGAAACACGGATACACACAAACACATTGTTGAATAACAGCTGCAGGGCATCACCCATCTAACCAGGAGCTGGAAATCTGCTCACAACCAATAAAACCTGCCTCATATCCCACTGCTTCCCTGAGATCGTCTCCAAGCGACTGTTTCCTCCACGAGAGACAGATATGAGGTGGAAGAACATTCGCAAGGGACCAGCAACGCCGCGTCCCTTCCTAAGTTGGTTAATTGATCAAGGCATGCCACCAGATGTTTGGAAGGAACAATCCACTGTGGGGTTTGCAATATTCATCGGCGTGTATGCAGAAAGGCAGCAATGTCATAAATCCCCCGTCGCACAAGGCCGCAGCCGCCTCCTCTATTGCAGGACGTATACCCACCATCCTGCATGATATATTATTCTCATTTCTGTTGCATGTTAATTTAAAAAAAAAAAAAAGGGGTGGAAAAACTCAGATGCCTTTGGAACTGGATGTGAGATAGTATCGTCCTCTGCATGCATATAAGTGTGCCAACATATCTTAGCAGATGTGAAATGACGGAGAAGTGTCTTCACACAACTGGGACACTGCTGTTCTCCACTTTCATCCTCCATCAGCAGTGATCCTGCATTCAGGTCAAGGGGAATGAGCCCAGTGTGACAGAGGCTTAAACTGGGATGATTCCATGGTGTTATGGAGCTACTGCTTTGGAATTTAGTTTGCTGCCATTTAGTTGTGGCTACTGTTTATCTGATGAGTGTTTTTTTCTTTTTACTGGTTCTCTTGGGTTTGTTTATAAATCTTGGATTAAAAGGTAATGAAATCCTCCCTTTTTCCCTAATTTCAGAGGAACTAAAGGACTACCTGCTCGGAGATGGAGCTATCAACAAGATCTTCACTCTGGGGAACAGCGAGTTCCCCGTCAGCTGGGAGAATGAGATCAAACTGTGGACTTTCCTAGAGAACCGAGCTTCTCTGCTGCTGAAAACCTACAAGACCACATCAGAGGTCAGTCAGCAGGAACTGGGGTCACAGTCACAATTACATCCAGCTTCTAAATACGAACCTTTACAAAGACAGAGGGATTAATCAGCTTAGTTACATTAGTTTCTTGAAAAGTTACCTGCTCTTGATGAATGGTTGCTATGTATGCCAGTTGATCTGTGATGATGCACGCTTCGCTCTGTCAGTAAAACGCATCATCATCGGGTCTCTTTAACACTGAGCTGCTGCTCTTACCAACGTCAGACTGATTTACCTTAGTATTCTAATCTAGTTCTAATCACTATATATTAGTATTTTTTTTTCTTGTATGTTTGCTCTGATTTTTCTCCTAATTGTAGCTAGAGGGCTTTGCAAAAGTATTCATGATCCCAATGCAAAGTATGGCAAATTGAAGAAGGTGCATGGATTTTCTACCTGTTTTACAGTTAAATTCTAGAAATGGGCACATCCCTTTATTACATGTAGTGTTTTGCTCGTTGGCAACAAGGTTTCATTTCTGTCCTTTTTTTTAATACTTCTGTAGTTTAACCTTTTTAATGAAAAAAAAAAAGTCAAAATAGACCTGACCTCTGTAAGGTCAGGCTTCTCCCTTCTATGTGGCCTCACATTCATGTCAAAAATGATCTCAGAAAATTTTATTTGCAGCTGCTGTTTGTCATCAGCCTGCTTACCTGCTGTGATTAAATGTCTGCAATCAGACGGACTTCCTGCAGGTTGGAAACAGGTTATAAAGAACCTGAAAATGTACTTGATTTATGTGGGAACAAAAGAATCGGAAAAATTGTGCTTTAGACTTTTCTTGAAAATGTCAATAGAAATGGGAAGTTTATGGTATAAGAGTTTACCTGTTGGGTCATCCATGAAAGTTATAGCCCTGCCCAGAAATGTTGATTATCAGCTCAGTGTTCAGGAGCTGATTTGGGTTAATTTATATTTTATATTCTAGTTAATCCTGTTCGCTGTGCCTCCTATCTTCCAGGATGATCGATCTTTTTTGGAGAAACCGGATCTCTCCCTTCACTCCCGTTTGGCGGTGCAGCTCCGCCTGGCTGAGAAGCAGATCCTGGAAAAAGTGTCAGCCAGCGGTCGGGAGAAACGACTTCACTTCCAGAAAAAGCTGGAGGAAGGTGCTCCGCTGCCACACTTCGAGGAGAGTGACATTGCTTTGCTGGAAAACAGCGACACGGATGCAAAGCTTCCCATTATCCTGCGCAAGCTAGAGGAGGTAGAGGAAAGAGATGGGCTGCAGGTGGAGGAGGAGCCCCTGCTGAATGGGGAGAAGGTGGGCTATGGAACGGTGGAGAGTCAGGAGGTCAGCAAAGACCAGACGGAAGACGAGTCTGAACTGAGTGCCAATCGAACTGAAGATATCCCCAAAGAGAACAGTGAATAACTGACCCCCCTCACTGCCACAGCTCAAGCTATTTATTTATTTTCTGTCTCTAAATGAGTCAAAAATGTAGAAGCTGTAAAATATGAACCGTATGTTCATCCAGCGTGGCTTCCTGCTGAACTCTCTCAGCCTTGTTTCAGGAGAGGTTCAGTTTAAAATAGGCTTCTGGTGATGTTTGAAACAAGAAAACAGTCGAAGGCCTGCAGCCGAGGAGAAGCTGAAAACCACACCGTGGATTTCAGTGGTTTGTTCTCTTATCTTGATGTTATTTTTCCTGGATCAAGAATCTCTCCTGTTAGGTGAATTACCTGCTTTATCCCGGCAGTGCGTCTCCATGTATATTCTCTGTTGACAATCATTGATTGGCTGTTTGTGAATGACACCATCCCTGCCCTGTCTGGTTTTCTTCTGACTAAAATGAAAGATTTTCTTTATTTGAAACATATCTGTGTGAATGTATTGAGTTGCAGCGGTGATCCAGCAGGAATGATCACTGCGTGTTTTCTTCATAAAGCCATAAACAGCAGATGATTTGGTGAGAAACAAGAATGTCTTCTTTTGTTTTTTCTCATTGGACTTTTGCTTTTTTTCTTAGATTTTCTTTGAAATGGTTAAACAGTAGGAAACTGTTCTGTTTCTCCTCTGCTTTGTGTTCATTGTTGAAGTGAGTCTGACAATCCCCTGTGAAAAGACCCGACCTGAAGGAAAAGGTAAAGAGACTGCGGCGGTTTTGTCATGTCCTAACAAAATGTGGACACAGCTGGGTCTGTATGACATGCTTCAATATTAAAGAGCATAAATGCCAAAGATTCAGTCAGTTTGTGCTAACAGATTTTCTTCTTTTAATTCATATTCAGGCTATATATAAAAAAGTGGCTTTTCCCCCCCAAAAGTTCTAAAGAAGAATTGTGCTTTTTTTTAAAAGATAACGTAAAATTGAAAAAGTGGGAGAAACTTCAGTCCATTATTACTTGTTACACTAGATATGAAGTCTGATGCAATTTTCTACCAACTTGATATATTATCAGATCCACAAGAAGGAAGACAAAGTAAAATAAATCCATGTTTGATCCATAAAGGGGGGAAGTATCTTTGCAAGACATATTTATTTTGAAATTATTTGAAGAAATAGAAAGTAGAAGGGTTGTGTGCAAGTATTAGGATTTTTGAGACTAAAAATGTTCAGTCCTGCTCAGGAAATTGAAAATGTGTAATCTTAATATTTTGAAGGAATTCTCACATATATATCAAAATATAGATAACATTACAGCTGTCAGTTATGGTGAGAAAGCTTCAATGATTTGAGGAGGGCTTTTTACAACTGCAGGACCTGGGAACCCTACATCTGCTTACATATATCAGCTGTATAAAAGGGTATTAGGAAGGGGGAGGCAGAGTTTGAAGCTGCAACTGAACTTGATCATCAATAGGACGACGGTGACTTGCACAGCAGGAAAAGTACTGTAGAAAGGAACTGAGGTGTTAAAATGGTTCAGTCAAAGGCCAGCTGATGAAATTGCTCAGAGATTTAATGAAAACCAAATGCATGTTTATTAACTTTAATATTAAGCTCTGAAACAAGATGGCAGTGACTCTAGAAATCCGTTTGCTTATGATGATACTAACATTATGATAGCACCCTTTTAATCTGCAATAAATCCTCATTTGTAACTTTAGTCATGCTCCTGGTCCCGTTACTCGTACGATTAAAGCACATCCTGCAAGAAGAATCTCTGTATTAAGGGAAAATCAATAATGCTACTTAGAGATGGAACCTTGAGCAAAGCTTTTAACAATCAAAAATCAAACCAAAGTAAACCAAAGCCTAAACATTGGGACAGAAGGAAACTGCTAAATCAGAAGTGTTTGCTGCTAGTTGAAAATACACCTTTTTAGAAAATTTAGATGAAGGCCACATAAGAGCATTACTAACATAAAGTTGTGCTTAAAAATTTACATACCAGCATACCCTTCGATTAAATAAAATGATGCATTCACACTAGTAATTCAAATAATACAAAGCTGAAAAAAAGTACTAATACAAGTTTAATAAATGATCATTTGGTCAAATGTTGATTTTTTTAAAAGTTTTTTTTATTTATTTTTTTATTTACAAAAATAAAAAAAACGTCCTAGACAAAGTGCCTTGCTCATGAACATGAACCAACACTTTCTGTCAGCAGGTGCAGAAGTCTGAACATTTCCTGATCATTACAGAAAACATGTGGTTTCACTGCCTAGAAGTGTTGCTAAACAAGGTTTTAGTTCAGGGACTCATCAGACTTGTTTGCTTGTGTGTGTGTGTGTGTGCGTGTCGCCATGTCTTTAATACCTGGTGGGGACAAATTCCTAGGAATATGCTACATTTTGGGGACTCATAGGTACTTGTGGGGACCAACATACGGAAGAGGATTAGGGCCACTGAAAAGAAAAAAAAAAAGATAACTGATTATTTTTTTTATTTTATTTCAGTATAGTATGGGAAAAATGTCAGAATTCTGACTTTAATGTCAGAATTCTGACTTTTTTCTCAGAGTTCTGACTTTTTTCTTAGAATTCTGAGATTAAAGTCACAATTCTGAGATTGAAGTCACAATTCTGACTTTAATCTCAGAATTCTGAGAAAAAAGTCAGAATTCTGACTTTAATCTCAGAATTCTGAGAAAAAAGTCAGAATTCTGAGAAAAAAGTCAGAATTCTGACTTTAATCTCAGAATTCTGAGAAAAAAGTCCTAATAATCTTCCGTACCAACAACTGGTCCCTATAAGGAAAGTTTCTCTTCTTAGGGTGGGGGTTAGGTTTAGGACTAAGGTGTGAATTGAGTTTAGGTTAAGTTTAGGGATAGGTATGTGTCGGTAATGGTTAGGGTTAGGGCAAGGGTCATGGTTAGGCCATATAAATGAGTGGGAGATGAATGGAAGTCAATGGAAGGTCCCCACAAGGATATTGTGACACAACATGTGTGTGTGCGTGTGTGTGTGTTTCTATATCATGATTTCCGTTTTTATTTTATGTATTTTGTTATTTTACTGGCAGCTTATTTTTCTGTCTTTGATGGAAGGGTATGTAAGCTTTTAAGCACAGCTGTATTTTTTTGGCTTGCCCACCAACTATGACCTGGCTTTTTCATTACTTTGGTCAATCAATTTTCAAAAATGTAGCTGCAACTAATAAGTCAGTGAGGTTTTGTTGGGAATTGGGGAGCCCTCAAGTGTTTGCGCTGAGTTTGTGTAAAATACTGTTTTGGCTAATATCGTTCCAACAAAGAAACCAGATATTGCTTTCCTTTGGATCCTACTCTAAAATTATCATAAGGTAACATCCAAGGTTCATTTTTATCTCTAAAAAAACAGCAAACCTGACAATAAATTATAATATTACTGATTAAAATGAGGTAAAATACCAACCAAAAACAGACTTAAGGGAATATTATAATTCTTTGATAATACTCTGTTCTGTCTCTGCCATGACTGGCTCATAGTCATACACTGAAAAAAAAAAAAACGCAACAGCTTTAGGCATTTACTTAATTATATTTAGTTACTCTAACACAATTGTTGTATGTCCTACCCTGCTAACATGAAACAATTGTGTTAAAGTAACTAAATATGATTAGGATAATGCCAAAAATGGTTGCATTATTTTTCATTGTAACAATATTAGTACAAAATACTTTAATTGCAAGGAAATATTTGGTAAGAAACTACATTTTCAGTATCATACCTTCTGACTGCATGAAAGACAACTTCAACTTTACTGATTAACTCTAAATTTATTAAATCACCACAAATGTATTAGTTTTAGTTATAAATAATGACCCATTAGTTATTCCTTTCTGACCGTACTTTTCCTTTAAGTAAACCCATTACCAGTAAAGTAATTGACTACTTTCTCAAGTATTATGTGATAAATTGATTTTTTAAAAGTTTTTCATTTGTAAATGTGTTGTAGCTCCTGCAAGTCTGATCATTTTTACCACATTTATACCACTTATCAGATCCAGTTCTGGGAAGAATGACCTTCTCCAACGTGTCTCCATAAGCTGCCCAGAACCTCTCCATTCCAACCACCTTCCTGCAGCCTTAACAACCCTTAGGTCATTTAACCTTGTAACTTAAGTCACTAAAGGTGATCCCATTTATTCTAATGGAAGGTTCCCAGCTTTAGCTATTTTTACATTTGATAGAAAGTAAATCAAACATGCAGAACTTTTACCATATGACAAGTATGAGCTGGAAAAACTAAAGAATAAGAAAATGTGATTACTACATTTAAAAACCTAAGTGTTTCAACCTTCAAAAGGCTTTATATGATTCATAAAGCTTATTCCTAACAATATAAAAAGGTAAAACTAAGAAAACTAACCTAAAACCAAGTAATATTAAATTAATGGTATTAGTTCTTATTATGCAATTATAAACCTTTATTATTCATCCAAGATGTTTAGAGAATAAATGGAATTACTCATAACCAAGTGGATGATCCTTTTTCTAAAAAGTCCAGATGAATGCATAATCCACAAACATCCATAATTTCTCTTTAAGTTTGTTACTCTTATCTTTCCTCTTGTGACATATTTCCATACATCTATTGTTCTTCTCTCTGCACCTTCAGCTGGGCAGAGAAAGGGTTTATTGAGAGCACTTTTTCGCTCATCTTTTGCCCCCTGGCCCTATTAGAAATTTATAAAAGAAACATTATCTTAAATCATTTAATTCAGAGCCATTCAATTTTGAAGTGCTATATTTATAATTCATTGCTGCCAAACATAAAAGCCCTTTAATCCTTGAATATATTATTATAATGGGCACTGTGATGGGCAGCGGAGAGCAAGGCTTGTCCACTATTGTTAGTGCTCACTGTGTCAGTCCTACATACAGACCTGAGAGCAATAATCCCCCCCAAAAAAACCCTGCCATATGAATTATAAACTGCCAATCAGCAGCCTCAGCCTGGTCCAGCTCACTGTGGGAACACACCACAGGGAAAGGAGGTATTTACAGGTCAAATGATGGACAGGCATGTGTTCACATCTGTTCTTTATGTCTTCTTAGCTCATAAGCTTCTTTTAATAACTTCAGATTGAAATGTTTGCTTGTTGATGCAAAGATCACAGATAATTTGTTTCACTGATACCTTCATTGGAAACAGAAGCAAAGCTATGCCGTGGAAAGAGAGGGGGCAAAAATAACTAACAAACTAACCAATCAGCTGCTATATCTGTATCTTCTCTGTGGCTAACGAATGCTAATCATATCTTATACCTTCAAACCGCTTCATTATCTTTTTTGCCTTGTCTCAGCCTGTCATCTGACAGATAATTGATTGATCAATCTAACAGACATGTTACTTCAATTAGAGATAATTAACACGTGCAACAATTAATGAAAAATATAAATGTATATTTCGCCAAAAACCTTCATTACTGCCCAATCAGATGATCATGTCAGAGTTTCCTCTTCCCCATGGAAAATGAGTGGCAGTGATGTAACTGCAGGAATCTTATAATGGAAGCATCTTTTTATTATTCAGCAGGTGAATGGATGGAAGAGCTTTCCTGGCTTAAGGGGTGGGGAATTTGACAAAGACATAAAGATAACTGACAGATAAAGTTTTCTCATGTCATAGTGATGGTGATGAAGAGAGCTGGCTTCTAACGAGGACACGGTGGACTTTTACCTCTTTACAAAAACCTTAGTAGATTAATACAGTGTTGTGTTTTGTCATTACCATCTTAGGGTTGTTAATCAGAACTTTCTGAGATAAGGATGAGTGTATAAGAGTCCTAAATAATCATTCTTCATTTATCAGCTCTTTACTTGTCTCCAAACTACAGTAAGCCTGCTGGAGACCACTGTTCTGTCATTGGCTGGATGAAGGCCCATGAAGTAGCAGAGTTAGGGGCTTATCAGAAACAAGGTATTGCTCCAATATTCAATACTTGAACAGGATCCTTTATGAATAATTTGTTCAGGAAACATCCAAACCCTCAGAACTTTATTGAGAACACTGGAGAAATTTACCTTTGCATTTAAGCCATCCCCTTGGGGAGCAGTGGGCTGC